CATTTATATATGGAGCCCTCTGTGTAAACGATTCTGTGAAAACTAATTCTGATATTTTCCCATCGTTACGTTTTTCAAACTCATGGAAAGATTACCGCATGGAAGCCTGAATATCCGACTTAAATCCAACAATAGGGACGTAATGGCCGACATGTCGACTTGGCTGGACGAGGAACTAGATTTTGATCTTGACCTAGACTTACTCTCTGATTTAATGGAATCTGGCTGAGGTTGAGAAGCAGATTTCTCAATTCTAGATGAATCTGATGAATCCGATAATTTCTTTTTGCTGGAATTATTGCGAGCCTTGTCCATAATTAACCAGTCCTCTTTTGATAATTCTGACACAGCAAACAAAGATTATCTAAAGAGCAAGGCGATCCTACAAAACATGAGGCACATAATGAACGAGGGTCCGATTCAGCCATGAATCTCTGGCATTGCAAGCACTTGTTTTGCGACATTGTGATAAGTCCTAATGGCGGGAAAATCTAACTCCTCACAAGTAAAGCAATTGGAAAATATACAGTTCACAATATAATGCGATGGTCAGAACAGACCAAATGCGATATCACTAACCAGTACACTTGCAAAATTCACTTGTGAAGACTTCATTGATAATTCTCTTCCACTTCTGTGAAGGTCTGCACGTGAACCATACAGAAAAAATTATGAGGGCTTGTGGAGAAAAATGCTGTGACGTCACGGCTAGGGGAGATAACTGTGTCACCCTTTAGGCATACCACTAAGGATAACTATAACTTAGGTTTTTTTAAAGACAACTTTTTTCTCTTTCATTTCTGTATGTCGCTGTGATACCACAGGAAACTGGCAACCATAATCCAGAGGGAACGTTTACGACATAATTAGAGTTGTTAACGATATTGTCAACATCACTCATATGGACTGGCCTGCAAGGTCACTTGATATTAATCCCATTGAACATGCTTGGGACATTATTGGAAGTCGTGTTTACTATCTCCATGTTCACCCCCCGATTCTGGATGACCTTGAGCAGGCATTACAGAGAAAATGGCAGAACATTCCACAACAGCAACTTTAAAGGCTCATTTGGTCAATGCAAAGACGTGTACGGGCTTGCACTTATGTTCATGATGGTCATACGCGTTACTGAACACTGCTTCACTGTCCAAAACTGACTTGAACCTTAATGTTAACATTTTGCTCCATCAATGCAGCACATTTTGCATGACTGTTTCACGGGTACATGTTTTTGATGATTTGTAAGTCTATTATTGCTCAATACCATTTTATTTCATTTTGTTAATCATGTGTACATATGTTTCACCTTTCTATCGCATCATTCCATGATTTGCAATTTCAATAAATGAAAATGTAATGAGACTACAAATTTTTGTTGCTTAACCTTTTGTGAGGAATATAGTTGCCTTTAATGTGACCCTTAAGAAGTATGTCAAGAGATGACAGATGTATCCATTCTGATACAAGGGGTTCATATCTTGATGTCAATGATGGTTATCCGAGTGGTGGGAGTGATCTGCTGGTCATTTCAAAGACGATTTCTCATAATGTCTACAATACTGGCTGACAGTTTAAATGAACCCAAAAGAACACAGTGAGTGAGTATGGTTTTACCCCGCTTTTAGCAGTATTCCAGCAATATCACAGCAGGGGACACTAGAAATGGGCTTCACACATTGTACCCATGTGGGGAATCGAACCCGGGTCTTCAGCCCAACAAGTGGATGCCTTAACCATTAGGCTACCCCGCTGCCCCAGAACACATTAGAAACATAGGACCAGATGTATGATAAACATATTTCCAACACCAAATAGAGTAAAAATAGTGTTCAATTGCACATTTCAGCAAAGATTCGCTTTGATAGTTTCAGTGTTACAATCTCAAGCTGGTGATATCTTTGCATATGAATAGAAAAATCTGTCCATGTAAATCTTAAGTTTCTTAAAAAATGTACATTATTTTGGGAGGTGTGTGTTACTGTGTGCTGTGGCCATGTTGCCACTTTACTGGACAGTGTAGTAGTTACAGAACACTGACCTCTAGGGTTGGGGATTGCCAACATTTTTGTATTGCAATATATTGTGATATGTGTTGGCGTATTGCAATATGTATAGCAATATATTGTGAGAGTGTAACACATGGGTTAAGGTAATGAAATTACTGTTTCCTTTCTTTTGAAACAATGCCACTGGCCACTGTCAGGACTCCAAATTGATTCCAAATTGAAGACTTCGCTTTAAAGTTTGGAACTAGAAAAAAAAGCATCTGCAGTGGCGTCCGCTATTTTGGTTTGTTTATCTATACGAGTGCAGGTACCAATTCTATTTTTTTCATTTATATTGTTTAAGAGTCACGCTAATGCAATTATATGACCAATAAACCTATCAAAACTATTAATGTATAATAATATGAAGGAAATACAAATGTTATTAACCATTTTTGACTACATCACGAAAATCATCAATTATGGTCATGGAAACTGCCGATCGTATCGGGTAAACCAGTTTGCGAAAAGTGTACCGCATTATATCGTATTGTGAAGTTCGAATTGCAATATACTGGTTAATCGGTTTTACCGTCCATCCCTACTGTCCTCCACAAAACAAATTGAAAATACACAGTCACAGGATTTCTGCAAGGGAACTTCAACTGTTTATCTAGCACGGTAAAGTACATTGTAAAATATGATAGAATTATGAATACGAGAATTATATCCCCAGTAATGTTAATATAGAGTGGTACTGTTGATTCATGTCATTATGTTCTTGGATACCCACAAAGTGGAAAGCAAGTAATGAAAGGTTTTAAAATTCTGTTCCGGAAAGGATCACTACCACCAATTTCAGTCGAAGTCAAACTTGTTGCCAAATGCAAACATTATTTTATTTAGAAATCAAAAACTACCAAAAGGCACCAGTTTACCACTGGTCCTATCTATGTGCAAAGTTTGGTGAAGAAATAGTGAACAGTTTTCAATTCTGCTCCAGAACAGAGCACCAACACCAATTTCAGATTAAGTGAAACTTGTTGCCATAGAAACACAAACAATATTTTATTCAGAAATCCAAATCTACCCAAATGCACCAGTTCACCAATAGACCTTGCTATGTACAAAGTTTGATGAAGAAATATTTAGCATTTTTGTTGTTCTTCTCCAGAAAACACTAATTTGCACGGACAGAGTCCAAAATAACACCCCTTGCAACGTGTTTACCAGGGGGATAATGAATACAGTATTTATGTTTGATGTGAGAAAACTATATCATGTTTTACTAAGTTCCTTTTAATTAATGTATGAATGAACATCCATGTATTCAAACATGGAAGTGATAACAAGGGAATGCATACCTTACACACCTCTTGGTCCTCCCTTCAACAGGCTTCAGCTGCACCAATAAACATATCCTACCTCTCGCTGTATCCTATCATTAGCTACACATTGCTTATCATCATCTCTGGATATACACATCTGTGCAACCAACTGAACAGTTTAATTTGGACATAACACGACAAATGTGTCAATACAATTTATCATTATTTACGGCTATAGACACTGGCCAGCTTGTCCATCGCTGGTGTGATATGATGTATATTGACCAACACTGAAGGCCCAATGTACAGTTTATAGACCAACACTGATGGTGGGTTACACAGTGTATTGACCAAATCACCCAGGTGTTTCATTAATTCAGTGTGGAACAAAATTGAATATAAATATTTATGGATAACATGTGCATAAAACTGATCAATGAGAACAGAGGGTTTTATGATACTGTATTCAAAAATAGAATAGAAGAAAGATACTTTGATCGTTTGTGATTCAGAAAAATATGTGCTGTATTCAATGGTAACGCCTTCATTGGATTCACAGTTCTGAATGCTGACGAGTAGTTCATTCTCTGACTGAACAAGCTACTGACATATTGTGCATACCAGGATGATGATACACTGAAGTTAAAACTTGGAAGAGATGACGCTGATACTGTGTTGTTGTTTCTGCAGTCTAATCAGCTAAAATTAATCAAAGTAAGAACAATTACTGATAACCATGAGTGAGTGAGTGAGTGAGTGAGTGAGTGAGTGAGTGAGTGAGTGAGTGAGTGAGTGAGTGAGTGAGTGAGTGAGTGAGTGAGTGAGTGAGAGAGAGAGAGAGAGAGAGAGTAGTTTTACGCCGCTTTTAGCAATATTTCAGGAACATCACAGCAGGAGACACCAGAAATGGGCTTCACACATTGTGCCCATGTGGGGAATCAGAGAACCATTGAGATTAGACAGATTCCAAAACTACTGAAAATAAGTAATATGGCCTCAGGTTTAAATAAAATGACCTTTTACTTATAAAATATTCTGTCTGACAAAGATACTATAGTTAGGATTTTATGGTCCAATCAGGCAAAACTTATAATAATGCTGAAAACTGAATGTGAGCTGAAACTAAATATGTATGAAATGAGAATCTATTCTGAAGAAAAATTACAGAATAGCCACAAATTGACTTTTCACTATGGCTGCTAAGGCAGGTTTAATTCGAACTTCTTGAACAAACTAAGATGTCACCGCAAGAGAGAACAAGCCCATGAAACTACCCGCTCAATGACCAAGTGTTTTCAGGCATGATGTTTTCAGATTAAAAATGCACTTTGTGGAGCAGAGTGGAGTGGAGTGGAGTGGAGCGAGCGAGCATTTACCAAATACCATTCCAATCTGAAAGAAGAGTCCTATGAGATGACATATCCCCTCAATCTTGTGCTATTCTGAAATAGTTTTGCTTCCATGCAGTTATACATAAACAGATGCTCATCAGATGTTCATAAACGATAGTTTGTGTTTCATATGATGTACAAAACTACCAGCCTTGATGTTCAAGACTGAGTGAGTTTGGTTTTACGCCGCTTTTAGCAATATTCCAGCAACATCACGGCTGGGGACACCACATTGTACCCATGTGGGGATTCGAATCCAGGTCTTTGGCATGACGAGCTAACGCTTTAACCACTAGGCTACCCCACCGCCCCTTGATGCTCAAGAGCACAGTGTGACAGGTCATAAGTCCAGACAATTATCTCGACAACGATGAAACACCTTCCACAGTTAATACACTACAGTAATTTGATGTATGCAAGAACAAATGGCAAAGAGAACTATCTAAACAAGTGTTTGCCACTGATGTGGCAATGTCCCCCGCCGCTAAAGAATGGAATATCTATATTTACTAATTTTTATTTTTTGGTCACATACAAGATGCCTGAAATGACGTGTCTGCATAATCACCCAATGTAGGCTGTCAACATACTTGAAAACATTGGGTGCAATGTTTTATGAGATATCGCCTTTAAAAAAGCGGTCAAAGTATCGTGGTGACCTTGAAGATAAGGTCAAGGTCACCTAAATACAGTGGTGTCTGTGTGATCCCCCAATGTAGGCTGTCACCAAATTTGAAGACACTGGGTACAACAGTGCATGAGATATCACGTTAACAACAGCTTGAAAAGTGGTCAGTGTCGTGGTGACCTTGAAAATAAGGTCAAGGTCACCCAAATCATCTGGTGTCTGCGTAATCACCCAATGTAGGCTGTCACCAAATTTGAAGACATTGGGTACAACATTTCATGAGACATCGCGTTAACAAGAGTTTGAAAAGTGGTCAAAGTGTCGTGGTGACCTTGAAAATATTCACATTCACATATAAAAAAAATAAGAGCAAACTTTACTAATAAGATTTTATAAAAGCTCAACTTTGGGTACTGAAAGAAGAATGAGGCATTTCCATCCTACACACAGCTACGATGTAGGTGATGGACACTACGGAAACATTGGTACCATTGTCGCATGACGCTGTCAACATGTTACATTATTGAATGTTAATTCCATGCACAAAAATAAGCAAATATTTACGGGCGGAATCAATACAAAATGTTCCACTGACTTTTCAAGGCCTCGATATTCAAGGGACACCATAACACTGCTGTATAATTATTCATGTGTACCGATGTGCAAGCCCACACAACAACCTTGGCCAACCTTGCAGGAATATTGCTTTCACGCTGGAGTCCATCAACTTATTGATGGTGAAACAGTTGCATGACAGCAATAAACACAAACTAAAGGCTTAATGAAATTTGGATCCATAAGCTTTTTGCAATTGTAGTTCCAATGAATTAAATTTACAAGAAATCCATTTTTTGTGTTGGTAGTTCACTAAGTAACTGACATTTTTTGTTAGGTATATTGATGAATGAACAGAAATAAAACAAGCAAAGCAGACAAGGTCACACGACAAGGTCACACGACAATGTCTAGCTTTGTATTGGCAAGGAAAACACCACAATAGCCTGGCTAGTGGTTGAAGGTGAGGTGAAATGGGGTTTAACGTCATACTTAAGAATATTTTGCTCATATCACGACGTGCATGCGTGTGTATGTGTGGCTGCTTGTACTAGCTCAGACGTAAGCTGGTTTTATAGTGCTAGCTCACTGCGACACCATGCCGCCGCTAAGCATGAATACCCCACTCAGACACAGTATACGGACTCTGAGCCGACCAGTCCTTGTTGTACCCATTAATGCCGAGCGCCAGACAGGGACCAACAAGTACCATATTTTAACGTCTTATACTATGGCACGGCCAGGCGATCCTAGTGGTTGAAGCATTCGATTTCCCCGCATCAGACAGACGTGTGAAGCCCATTTCCTGTGTCAACCACATGCTATTGCTGGAAGTTGAATGAAATTTGAATTTAGCAATTCTCACTTATATACAAATATGGAACCATTCTTTTCATAGCTCATGAATAAAACAGGCATGAAACCGAAAAAGAGTAAAGGGAATTTGAAATTGCCATCATTAATGGAACTTAATATCGGTAACATGTGGATTGATTACCAATAAAACAAACTTTTACTACAGGCCATTCTTGTGTTGACATTACAGTTCACATGTGTACTGATAAGTCCACTAAGACAGTGAGTGAGTGAGTGAGTTTAGTTTTACGCCACTTTTATCAATATTCCAGCAATATCACAGCGGGAAACACTAAAACTGAACTCACAAAGGGAGCTGTGTTTCACATTGACAAATTCACAAACATCTCACGCAGGTGTTTTTTTTAGAAGGATTCCCTCATGACCTACGACATCTAAGCTGTACATAAGGATATTTGTTGAAGAAAAGCATCACAGATAGTTGAGAGGACATCTGTTGAAAACCTACAGATTTTTTACAGTGTAAGAACAGCCAAAAGGTTTGTTGTTTAATGCTGCTCTTAACAAGAATCAATAATTGGCGGTGGTCTGTAAATAATTGAGTCTGGACCAGACAATCCAGTGATCAACAGCATGTGCATTGATCTATGCAATGGGGACACGATGACATGTGCCTACCAAGTCAGCGAGCCTGACCACCCGATCTCGTTCGTCACATCTTACGACTATTGCTGAAGACCCAATTCTGCTTCAAGTGAGCCTAACCTCCTGAACCCGTTAGTGGCCTCCTAGCATGAGCTGCCAAGGAACAATCCTAACTCTGATCACGAAGGAGTTTTTGTCATCAATCACTGGATTGTTTGGTCCAGACTTGACTATACTGATTTTATTGCTCAATGCGATGTTAAACAACAAACAAACAAAACAAGCTATTGTTTATCTATGTTGATGAATTCCAAACTTCCTGATAAACCTGCCATATAGCTGGAATATTGCTGAATGTGACGTAAAACTAAACTCACTCCTGATATTAAATTTCATTAAGTCACTGAAAAGCTGGGATTAAAGAAAAATGATAGTCGTATGTGAATTTGTTTCCTCTATTTCTCGCAGAAAGGGTCCACTCTAATACTGACTGACAGAATTTGGTTTTACGCCGCTTTTAGCAATATTCCAGCAACATCATGGAGGGGAACACCAGAAATGGGCTTCACACATTGTACCCCACTCTTAATAACCTTCAGAAAACCTGTCAGAGATTTGTCAACCAATTTGTAATATGACTGAAATTTAGGTACTTTCCTGAAGTGAATCACATTGTACACATTGACTGTAACATACAAATACCCCTGTGCGGTGACCCCTGACCCTGACCAGACCAGACCCGACATGCACTGCAGGTGCTCACTCATGCTAAGCAGGACTTAACTTTATCTTTGTTCCAGCACATTGGTCACTCATCCATCCGGGGCACCTGTTAGACACACCCACAGCAGAATTCTTTCCACACGTGTAGCAGGATTCAAACCTATGATTTAATATGTTCCACCCGTCTTCTGAACTCATGCAGAAATGAACGCATGAGTTCAAAAGTTAAATCTTTATTTTCACGTTGCTTTTTGAATTATGTATATATACACAACATGGCTGAAAGGAATCAACTATGAGGCGAATATGATTCACGTCACAAAACTTGGTAATGAATACTAATACTGCTTGATGAATTAACAGGTCAGCAGTTGTTCATTAAATTCAGTGAAACAATGACAAAATAAAATTATTTGACATGTTTTGACACTGTTGACAGTGATAACTTACATCAGTGATGAGTGAGTGAGTTTAGTTTCACACTGCTTCCAGCAATATTCCAGCAAAATCACAGCAGGGGACACCATAAATGGGCTTCACATATTGTACCCATGTAGGAAATCGATCCCGGTCCTTGGGCATGGCAAGTGAACGCTTTAACCACTAGGCTACCCCACAATAACCAGACTAATTATTAACTGCTCTGAGTGAGTGAGTGAGTGAGTTTAGTTTTACGCTACACTCAGCAATATTCCAGCTATATGGTGGCGGTCTGTAAATAATTACTGGACCAGACAATATAGTGATCAACATTTATTGTTCTGCATGTCATGAGAAACTGGAGAATGTAGTTGGTGAGCGAGCGAGTGAGCGATGCTGCTTCAAACAGTATTTTTTGTCATATCACAGAATTACCTAAATGCTCGAAGATTCATTGTTTTCATCCCATAAGTGAATTTGGTCTTGGATACAGATAAGCTCAGCAAGATCAATACTATTTGGAAACAAGGTCCAATCCCAAAGTCACCGGATCATGGAACAACTAAGGGGAGCAACTCTGAACAGCAACTGAGACAACCACACCAAGGCAGACTCAATTCTTATCCATGAAGCCACTTTCTGTAACATTAATCAATGGCCCGCCTACCATGCCACTTAAATTTAACCTCAACCTCTCCTCACCCTCCATTATGATCAATGTACAATTTGTCTGAACGTGAGCAAACAATGTGTTTACTTCCCTCGCCAGATATGTTCTGGGGTATGGGAAGACAAGGAAATGTGATACCGCTTGCTACCTTTCATAAATAGGCCTTGCTGCCTTTCATAATGGAAACATGAATATTAGCATAAGTGAGTTTTAAGTCCCCTGGAAAAATATTTCAGTCATTTCTTCACATTGCTGCTGGGTTGAATCAGTTACCTAACTGTGCAAGTTCAATGCCCCATGGAAAATAACAAGAGTCATCAGAAGATGACATATCCCCGGCCCCACATCTTTGAAAGAACAAATCATCTGACAGTTAAATAAATCATCTGACAGTTACTTAAAAGTCCAGCTTGATTTTTAGACTAAGTGCAAATCGTTTCCATGGAAATCATGAAAAAATAAATGACAAAATCTGCAAATAGCAAAGGCACCACTTTGGGATCTGCCTCACATATCTGCCAAGTTTTGCTGAAAGATATTAAGAAGTTTTAGCGTTGTGCTCGGAAACAAAACCCATCCCTTCCTTTTTGAGACTAAGTTGAATCATTTCCATGGAAACCGAGAAAATAATAAATCACAAATATCTGCAAATAGCAAAGGCATCACTTCAATATCTGCCTCACATATCTGCCAAGTTTTGCTGAAAGATATAGAGAGGTTTTGAGTTGTGCTCGGAAGCGAAGCCCACCCCTCACTTTTGGGATTAAGTCCGAATCGTTTCCATGGAAACCGGGAAAAATAAAAATGCCAAAATCTGCAAATAGCAAAAAAAGGCACAACTTAAGGTTCTGTTT